TTTCCGTACTGAGCTCTAATGCTACCGACGCCAGGGAGGCAGCTCCCAGAGATGTTATGCCTTAGAACATGCCGGTGGCGCCGACTGAGATTGGACCCAGGCCTGCTGGGGTGAGAGGTAATCACGCTAACCACCGGCGCCGATATCTTTGAAGGTGATATAACGGCGAATGAGAACGACCCAAATTTGAGTTTAGTTATCTCAGAAATAAGAAATAAAGTGCAGGAACTCAGCGATGAGTAAATTTGCCTCATGTATTCCCAGGTTTTTCCAGGATTTTCCATGGAAACATTCCCGAATTTGAGAAAAGTAAAAATTGGATTCACTCAGTCTATTGGTACTACTCCGAGACTGAATACAATTTTCGTCAATATATTCATTTTCTGGCAGATTGTTTAGGTTTTCCACAGGAAACCATGAGACAAATTTACTCATCGCTGAGTTCCTACACTTTTGGCGATTATGAATGAACTAAACTCAAATTTGGGTCGTTCTCATTCGCCGTGTACGCAAAAAGAAAATAGCCAGTGTCGCTACTTGATAGCAAACTACTCATAATGGGAGGAGTCTTTGTAGCTTTTATACCACTTGGTTGCACATCATTCTGCTTTAATCTAAAAAGATATAAAGCAGCGCTGCTGTCTGGTATCAGCTCATTTTTGCTTCGGACGGCGTGGTCAGCAATAGCAGCAGTAGGAAGGTGGTTAGTCCACTTTTCTATAACCTTACAAGCAACAATTGACTGGTCGTGGCAAAGGAGGTGCCAATCGTCATAGCAAATTCTTAGAGATAACCACCATCCGTCGTCTGGCTCGCCGTGGTGGTGTCTGACGTATCTCCGGTCTGATCTACGAGGTGTGTTGAAGGTGTTCCTGGAAAATGAGGTCCGTGATGCTGTCACCTACACTAAACACGCCAAGCGTAAGTAGCCATGGATGTCCTCTTCAATAAAACGGCCCTTTTCAGGGCCATCAAGCTTACATCAGTAAAGAGTTGGAATAGAATTTATCTGTGCTTGTTTGTCCATATTCAGAACCACAAGCCCCCAACGACCACACAAACTTGGTAGCAGGGGTGCAAGTGATTTTGATTGATTCTCGTAATCAACTTTTTCTTTGAAAAAGATTACAATAAATTTGGTACGCCTACAATTCAAAAACGGAAAGAGTTGAGATAATAGATATTTAATCAATTAAAAGAGCTTAATGCTCTTCACATATTCCGTCCACTAGCGAATAGCCGAATGACAAATGACCGAAAGAACGAATGGCCGAATGGACGACACTGGACGAATGGACGAATTAACCCTCATATTTTTTATTTTATTCTACATTCTTTATGCAATATGGATTTCTGTATTATTATTTTTATTAATAACACAATTTGAAATAATAGCCCATGTTTAACAGAAGGAAATATCTCTATTAAAAATATTAATTCTAAAGCGCAAAAAATCAGTTAAAAAAAAAGGATTTTGGAAGATCAACTCATGTTTAAACGAAGGAAAAATTGCTGTTAAAAATATTAGTTTACGAAGCTCTAAAAATCACTACAAAAATATGTTTCGCAAGAATAGAAGATTCATCTACTTCTACCACTTTCAACCAGACGGTTGTTCATCTCAGTTTTTACTGTTATGTGCATGACGGGGTTACCCGGGTACTCAGTACCCATTTGAATAACACGGTGTAGAAAAAATCAAAAAAATCTTGACGCACAAAGAGGTTAAATGTGAAAAATCTCACGAATAATTGCAGCGTCAATGAATCTGCTACAATCTAACTCGAAAGAACAGCTCATGTTTAAAAAAATTAAATATCTATATGAAAATATTATTTTGAAAGCGCTTAAGATCACCACAAAAAATATTTAAGAATATATTTTATTTATTTATTAAGATCTAAGATTATATATTTCAGTTGTTGTTAAGACTGTTTCCTAATTTATCGATCTTATTGCTGATTTGTGCAACATTAAAATCAAATGTATCTTTAGCAATTGTCAAGTTGATTAAGGGTATTAATTTCATTAATCCATTCGGCTATTTGTCATTCCGGGTCAGCTGTATGCACTTATAATCAAAACACTATTGTTGACGAATCCAAGCACCCAGTAGGGATAAGTTTGATAATAACCTGAAAATGACAGCTGCAGCTTTGCATGTGATCCAAGTTCACAATTGACCATTTTGTCAAGCAGTTTTTGCGTGACTTTCTACCAGCGATTTCACAAAACTGGACCAACTTATTTCAATTTTTTAGAAACGCACAAATGTTGGCTACTTTTCTCGAGGTTCTAGAAGAAAAATCTCAAAATAATGTTTCATTTCAAAGTTCGAGTGGTAGTAAACGTCAGTTTATCTGCTCGAATGAAGTGATTAATTGTAGGAATGAGAATCACAATTCAAGAGCCACATGTAAAAAGGGCATACAAGCTTTTTGTAAACAAACCTTTGTAGATCCTTTTCTCGCCAACCGAGGGTCGCCCACGTAAACCAACAACATCATCCGGAAGGGTACAGTTTCTCCATTCTGTACAAGTCAGTCTCGCACATGATTTTGGTAGGGTAAATGATGGCTTCGCCAGCCATCGACTGTTTTCGGCAACCACAATTTAAACGTTATTTTCGCTGTATTTTCTCACTAAAACACTTCGCTGAATGTATTTAAACGATTCCTTAGTCTTTAAGCTTCAATCCTAATACATTTTTATGGCTGAGAAAATCTGTTATGCCAGGTGTTTCTTCAAATGAAACATAAGCACATGAAAATACGGCTGATTTCGAGTTGCCGACAATAGAACAGCTGACAGTTTAAACGGAAAGGTTGCTGAGAAGTTTGGAGCGCCTTAAAAACGTTTTCTACCCGTTTTGGACAGTTCTGTCGATTGGAATGGATAGAATAGCTAGCAGCAGATAAATGTAAACAAACAGACACGTCATATGTGTGTGTGACGCTGAGAAAATGCTTATAGAAGTGCGGAAACTGCTTAGATTGCCGAGAATACGTAAATTCCCTTATGTCTTATCATTTTTGGAGTTATTTTTTTTGTAGAAAAAGTTGGTAAAAAGTTCTGTCCTGTTCAATTTTTTTCAAGCATAATAAGTAGGCAAAGTTGCTTCAGTAAACAAAACTTTTAAAATCACAATGTTTCACTGGAATCTAAGAGGGTGCGCCAACTCCTTAGTCGAGGTATTGTGAAATTCGTCATTTTTAAGCTCATTTTTTTACGTTGGAAGTTGGGTTTCTTTTACCATTTCATCATTTTAGTTTTTAGACTACTTCATCGTTTTTAATACTGCTCATTCGTTTCGATGACTCTTTCAGTATTTTCAAACCATTTTCGCACAATTAAGGCCGTTTTTCTAACGGCACCGGTGGTGTAGTGTTAAGCGAGATTGCCTCTCACCACAGCAGGCCTGGATTCAATCTCAGTCGGCGCCGCCGGGATGTTCTGAGGCATAACATCTCTGATCAAGCCTTCCTTCGGAAGGGAAGTAAAGCCGTTGGTCCCCGGTTCATGAGTTGATGGGTCGATAGGTGGTAGGGTCCAGGTGTGGGAGCTGCCTTCCTTGCGTCGGTTGCATTGGTGCTCAGCACGGAAAACAAAATGGACGGAAAACAAATAAAAAAAGGCCGTTTTTCAACTGACCTGGCGTTTTTTAGTTTTCCACCATTCAGCCATAATGATAGGCAATCATACAGTTTGATTGTATTTTTTTGGCGTTGTAAATCCATTTTGGGGCTTTCAAGTCAATTTTGGCCTTACAACATATTCAGTGTTGGTGGGTCGCAATATCATATTTTTTTCAAAGTGGGTCTCAATCGAAAAAGTTTGAGAACCGCTGCTTTACACTGTGGCCAATAGGGGCCGTTCATTAACTACGTAGACAGTTTTTGGGATTTGGGACAGCCTCCTAATTGTTCCACTACCAGGAGAAAAGCGCTTCCTAGGATTCAAAATAAAGTTCTGAAGATGATTTTGAAGTACCTATTACAATACTACACAGGTACACAGAATTTCGTATGTTGATACTTTGGAACAAATGTCCAACAAAAATCATTAATAATTTCAGGAAAAATCGTTACAATCTTCAATTGCAACTATCAATTCTCTTTAAAATTAGAAAGATTTAGTTTAAGTTTTTAGTTTTAAGATTACCATTGTTATACTGACATGTACTGCCCATAAAACCATAACTGTCACATATGAATAGGAAATCAATCAAAGATGGGACAATTATGCGAGTATCAGCAGTGCAGGTATAGAAAACCTGTTTGAAAAACTAAATTTCTAAGGCAGACACAATGTAAAAACCCTTACTGCTATTATACGCATAAGAGTCCCACGGTGCATAAGGATTACATAGAACATGGGACAGTTATGCGTATAACGGCAGCTTAGATCCTAACAAATAAGGTTGGTAAGTTACTGTAGTAGCTCGAGCGCCTAGATTGAAACATGAATGTATATTGATTAGAGTTTTGGAACAAATTAAGATTAAAAAAGGGGTCGAAGTGGACTTGTTTAAAATAATTGATTTGATAAATTAAGAGCGACGCCGGTGGTGTAGTGGTAAGCGTGATTACCTCTCACCCCAGCAGGCCTGGGTTCAATCCCAGTCGGCGCCGCCGGAATGTTCTGAGGAATAACATCTCTGATCACGCCTTCCTTCGGAAGGGAAGTAAAGCCGTTGGTCCCCGGTTCATGAGTTGATGGGTCGATAGATATGGTCCAGGTGTGGGAGCTGCCTCGCTGGCGTCGGTAGCATTGGTGCTCAGCACGGAAAATAAGATCAACGGAAAACAAACCAAGAAAAAAAAAGTGCCGTTTAAATCTTTAAACTACGGCAAAGATATTTTTTAAGGAACGAAGTTTGTATAATAAATTTACTGTAAAAGCTACTGATCAGTACCTATTGGGCAATTAGAATATGGATAACAATCTTGGCTCTGTATAGGACCTTTTCTTTCAACAGCAAACATCCTGTTCTTACATAATTCATCTTTTGTTATGTAAATATATTTGGAAACAAGTACAATCCTAACGTCTTAAATAAAAACACTACTATAAATAGACAAACTAACAAACCAGCTCCAACAAAACAACGTCCTGCAAAAGTTATCTCTTCCGGTGGGGGTCGAACTTTGTTGGCAAGCCCAACCTGTAATAAAAGAAAGTGGCTCATAGAACGATTAAATCAAAATGTTAAAAGAAACCTACCCAACCTCCGTTTTCGGAAATCCAAGTAACCAGTTCATCTTCAATAACATCAGCCACTCCTTCGATCAGTTTTGGTAGGTAGTCTGGGTGCCCTTGACGGACGCAGTCTACTGAAAGCCCACCAGCGATGGCAAACAACGAAACCACTTTGCCCCATGTAATATCGCTTTTGAACAAATCCCTAGCTATTGCACTTAACAGTACGGGAGCTGTTTCCGGCGTCTTAAGTTCACCTCGTCCGAATCGACTCAGTTGTCGAGCTACTCCGTTGTAAACCCGGGGATACATTCGTTCGAGCTCTTCGCCGACCTAGATGAGAGCAGAATATGATTAGTTTGATGCCGTGGAGACTTGTTTGAGATGTAATACACTTAGCAATGCTGGGAAAACTTCGCGCACGACATGGATGGTTGGTGTCCCAACGATGCTTCTAATTCTTTGTAGGCCAAGTTTTCTATTGAACACACCGGACTTTTTCAATCTACATCGGATGTACTGGCCGCAGAGGCATTTTCCTTGGGTTATAATATCCTGTGATGGAAGCACAGGTTGTTTCCATCCTATTGTGCTTGATAGTTTCCTAGTGACTACATCGCTAACATTACTCAGTCGTCTCCGTGCTGACGATGCTGAACTGAATGGTTGCAACGATCCAGAATTTATTGATCCTGGAGGGTCTCCGAGAAGGACCGTCGAGTGAAGGTTGGCCGGAAAACTAAATTTCCGGCGTGCTAATACGGGAGCACTCAGTCGGTCCGGCAGCAGATGATGATTGTGACTTAAGGGAGGAGCTTCGGTCGTTAGCATGGTGGATAACCTGCGAAAAAGTAACATAAAACCTTAATTATTGAGATGCAATCATCATGACTATCAGTTTCGAAAACTTATGATTCGTGAGGAAATTTGTTCAGGTCATACAGTTTTAATTAAATACGGTAAAACAAATCACGTGAGCGGTGATTAATTTTTTATCTCTGCGTCTTAATCATGTCGATGGATTTACAAGCTTTTACATGCATCTTGCACGTCCCACGCGACTTTCCTCCTTCTGAGCTTACTGGCAAGCCTTAGAGAAAATTGAAATATCTTTTTTCGCGACTGCGTTCACAATCGATTAAAGCATACTGGTAGGTACAGCCAGCTGGCTTAAGCTATCAAGATGGCCTGGAATTATGCGATGCATAATTGATACTTTTAAAACACCGCTCTACCCTTAACAAATCGATCTTAATTCATGGTAGTGTGCTTTTGATTTCAGTTTATAAAGGGTGGTTTCAAAATTGTTTGAACACTTTTGAATGCTTGTAGTTTGAAGTAACTTAACATTGAACAATTTCGTGGTTTTGTAATGCAAATAATAGAGCTGTAGATAAACAATGGAGATTTAATGTGTAAACAAGTTGGGTGTAATATGTAAATGCTAGTTTTACAGGAATATGTAAACAATTAAATTTTGGGGGACGTCCCTGTCATAGCGGTTAACATCCATAACTCTCACGCCAAAGTAACGAGTTCAAATCCCCGGACAATTCACGATTGCCCCTAGAGTCTTGCCTAAGTTACACATATTCATGGAATTTTGTTGAGTATACTTCCTTACAAAAAAAATATAATAATACGTATCTACATATTCAGCTCAACTTAAAATATCTACATTAAGGGTATTCACAAAGCGTATCGTAAACCTAACACCGTAAATGCCCAAACTTCCAGTACACTCCTTGCCAAAGAGTCCTTGGTATATTTACGATAGTGTATATGTTTACGATGCGCATAGTGAATAATGTACGCCGGGACAAATTGAAATGTGGGGTAATTAAAAACGGAAGATGTGACTATTAGCGGAAGTGAATAATCACTGTGATTATTTTTAACAATACTTATATACTCAAACGCATCTCTTGACTGTCAAAATGGATAGTTGGTTCACTCTAGGAACCGCCACTTCACATATCCGCTCCGGGTGTTATTGATACACTCGACGCCACTGGGCAGAGCGCTTTGTCGAAATCGCCCATTTCCGTTATATCGAGCAGAATACATCCACAATATCAATGATTTCATCGTGCACATATGAATAATACGTTTGTTCCAATGCATTCGTTAATAAGCCACAAAGCCTATTAGAGCGTATTGTATGAATATTTACCCTCATTGTTCTCAAAAACAAAAGAAGCCTTCTAGCGAATCCTTTTTTCTGCCTTCATCCGTAGGACGATGAAAATCCAATGGCGTTTCAACACAATTGAAACTCGTAGATCGAGTATTGAATCAAGAAGCAGTGTTAAATTTTTAGCAATAGCGCAACAATTTGTGACTCTTTATTAAATAATGGTACGTAAATTTGGAAGTCACCTATAGCAGATTTTTGTTTGTTCATACCCGTTCGATAAAGATAGGAAAAGAGTGGGTTGTGCATAGTATGACGGAAATTAGATCATAAACGCTAACACCAGATCTCGACGTTTGTTGCAGTTTTAAGTCATTTGGCAGCCACAATTTATTTTTCGCACTCCGAAATTAATTTTACGGGTGATTTTACGGTTAAAAAACAAATCTTTGGCGATTTTACGCCACTCCTAAATCATGTCCGATTGAACCCAAATTTTGCACAGAGTATTTTTTCGAGGCAATACACATTTTGCACATGGTCGGTTTTGGAAATTCGATCATCACTGTTGGTACCCTAACTGATATAGGGTAATTGATTCTGGTTGGACCTATCCAAAAACTGATGATGGTTGGACCTATTTTTTCAATCGCTAGTTTAGTCAATCTTCGCTAATTTTTTTTTATTTTCAAAGATCACTTTACTATCATAAAAAACTCTTTTTCTTCAATTTGCATGGGTGTTTTATTGAAAAAACTTCAAAACAATTGAGTTTCAATTTGTTTTCAAAACAGTTCACTATTCACGCATTAGCTCGTCATCATGCCTTACTTTCAAACATACAAAAAAGGAATATTTTTTACATTTATTTTTTATTTTCATGCAGTAAAATACTGCTTTAAGGTGTAAACAACACGTTAGTACGCCATTTATCTATTGGTTTCACTAAAATGTTTGAATAATTGACGAAATTCGAATAGATAAATATGATCAAGGTTGGACCTACGCATGATGATGGTTGGACCTATGTGTTTCCTAAGACGGCCGCTAGGTGCGCTTTGGTTTGTCTACGTCCTTCATGCGCAGCTGATTTGAAATTCGATTTAGTTTTGGCCGAGTGATCAGTTTCTTCGATTGAAAAAATGTCTAAAGAAAAGAGTTATACGATCGAAAATCTTCAAGAGGCTGTTCTTTTAGTAAGAAATAAATCACTTACCGCGTATCAGGCACAGAAAAGGTACAATATTCCGAAAACGACACTTCACGCAAAAATTAAGGGAAGCCACGGCAAGAAATATGGAAGGGAAATAGTGTTGAGTGTTGATTTGGAGAACCAGCTAGGGGATTGGGTTTGTATGTGTGCTGCTTCGGGCAGTCCCAAGACGATCAAAAAGATCTTGGAAGCTGCTAAAGACCTTGCGTCACTAGTTGGGCGTAAATTTAAAGGAGGAATTCCATCGTCAGGTTGGCTGAAAGGGTAACCACCAATTTTCGAACTACCACGAAAGCGCCGAAAGAATCTGTTAATATGAATTTACATTAAGCACTTCTCATACACCTTCTGTGTGTGAATTAACTTGAAATAAAATGTTAACAAACTAAAAATTGCTAACTGAAACTTATTTCCGGAAAAAAAACTCCTAGGAGAAAAAAAAACCATAAAACCGGAATTAAGTTCTGATATTCTGCTCCTAAATTCCCCGGGGGCATCCAGAACATGCCCGGAAGTGGCCAATGTGGTCCAAGGCACTCAATTTTGTTATTGATATTTTTATCGAATTTGGAAGTAATGTGAAGTGTCCTTCCATGTCAAAATTAGCTCCATGTTCCATAAACCCTGGAACTTGTTCCGACCGGAATAAGTTGACCGATTCCAAAAATATTCGATAGCTTTCAATGGGACCACAATACCTATAGTTTGACGTTAAAAAATTTCCAAATCGGGTCAATGATTTCCCAGAAAATGAGCCATGATGAATAGCTAATGCGTGGAAAGTGAACTTTTTTAAAAACGAAGTTAAACTCAAATTTCTTCTCAAAAAAACTGTATAAAAAGGGTTTTTTTTTTCATGATACCAATAAGCTTTAAACAAAGTTTTTGAACAAATATGGGCTAAACTAGCATTTGCAAAAATAGTTCCAACCATCATCATTTTTTAGGTCCAACCAAGATCAGTATAGGTCCAAACAACATCATAATTCTTTGCTGAATAAAAACGTTTTATAAAATCATTTGTTCATAATATTAAACTTTTTATGTTATTATTAGAAACAAGAAAGGCAGATCTTTCCCCTAATCACGCATTTTTCATAATTATACACGAAACGAAAATCAATTATTTTATTCATATGTTTCACTTATACATTTTTGCCAAAACAACAGCCTTATACATTCCATAAGACATACCACATAGGTCCTATAATAATGCATAAAAGGTATGTGTGACCGCTTATACATTTCATTTGACACATGATCTTCATTAACTTTTTGCAAGGCGTCTGCTTATTAGTTGACTTATACATTTTATGAATAATCAGCAATAGAAATTTGCCAAAAGGTATAAGGAGATTTCTATCCGTGATTGAATTCATAAAAAAAATACGACATGAATGTCGACGTCGTGTAAAACCGGCCTAAATAGGTCCAACCATCATCAGTTACCCTAAACGCATACAGACATTTTTCGATCTCGTTGAGTTGAGTCGAATGGTGTATGACACTCGGCTTTCCAGCTCTCGAATCGAAAATCCATTTTCCAAAAGATATGTATGTAGGGTTAACGATCCGATAGTTGATGTATGTTAGAAGCGTTATGTTCCTATAATTGTGTATTGAGTCTCCATACACAACTATTGGAGCCTAACGCCTCTAACGTACCGCAACTATAGGAGCGTTTCCCCTACCTTTTTGTAAGCAGGGTAAACCCCCCCCCCTGAGGTAGGAAATAGGGACTACCCTGCCCTTGCTTATTTTTTGTTTGTTTGTTGGGGGATGTTAATCTATGGTGTACAGTATTTAGAATTCCTCGATCCGTTCGTATATCTATTACTACTACAAGTTCAGAATTAATAATAAACTGTTCGGGAGTAACTTCACCCTTCCTTAGCTATGCTATTGGAAAAAGTGTAGAGTTTCTTCTCAGATCTTACCGCGTGGAATCATATTAGGTATCCATTGCCCGTTCGACTGAAAACCGATGCAAAGTTTTGGCAGGCAGCACTTTTTGTTTTTACTTCGCAAGTGTAACTTCGCACACGCGGTTCCGGATTAGTGGTGTGACGGCAATATCCTCTCTTTTGGGCAACATACTGTAAACGAATCTTACTCAGAGAGTGAGTCACTTTTACTCATTAATGGAAAAATTTCTCACTCTCTGAGGAAGATTCGTTTTCAGTGTTACTATGGACCGATAATAGGATACACGCTACACACCCTGAGTTCGGTAAAAAAAATACCGTCTTAGATCGATAATGCTAAAAATTACAGATGTTTCGGTATTTTCTCGCTTTATTGCTGAAAACTGTAAATGAAATGACCGAATTTCGGTAATTTCATTTTAATTTACCAAAAACGGTAAACATTTTTACCGGCAGGTCACTGACTTCGGTGAAATATTTTACTGAAGTTTCGGTAAACAAAGCGTTCCATTACTGAGTTCGGTAATGGTCTAGGTAAACGTCAAATCCACCATATTGTTATTTTCGAT